TATCTGTTATAGTATTTCGCGTAAGATAGAAAAATTTTCCGGCACTAAATTCGAAGAGGAGTTTTCATCCTCATCATAATGAATATCAAATCTTTCACCACAATGGGCGACATTTTATGCCACGCAGAATCGTATATAGCGTAAACAATGGACTCGCTTCGATTCTGTAAGGTATCACCGGCATATGTGTACAGAAAAGTCTGTACCATATAAAATTGAATAGACATCAACATTTTTATTATTTCTTTGTAATCTTGAGTCTTGATTGACAAAATAATTCCTACTCCTAAAAAATTACGATCTTTTACGGACATATTATAACACTTTTAATTTTAGATGTATTTTATATTTTTCTTTACTTTTTTTTAAATTAAATTTGATAACTTATTGTTATTTTTTATTTATATTAAAATTTTTTTTTTATTTTGAATTTTACTGATATTTAAATTATAAATATTAAAATTAATTTAATAATTTAATTCAGTTAAACTTATCACAAAACTTTTCTTGTAATTTTGATTATTTTTATGCAAAATTATTTTCAAACCAATATGTATATACCAATATATAAATGATAAAACTTGATAAAGAATTTAATTAGATATATACCTGAAGTTGCAATAACTACGCTGATTATTAAAAGTCGTAGTAAAATATTAATATTAAAAGTATCTTCAATATTTTTAGCCAGCTCTATCAGCTGACAATGTCTTTTCACTAACGGTCTCAAAAAATTTCCATGTTTTTGCTCATGGTGTTTTTTACTGATCTCTATAAATTGTACTCTAAGTAGCTCTAATTGACCACAAAGGTGCATAGTAATACTGAAGAAAAAGCTATCGCAAGCACATTCTGCTATCAATATCAATGATCCTTGTATTATTTGCATTCCAAATAACATCCTGTATGTAGAGTATGAAACGCCTTTATACAAACACGTTGATGGAATGACAAAATTCCATGCAGCGATGGTGTCATTATCCATAATTGCAGCCTGTAAAATACACAGGGTACAATATTAATTTTTATAAAACGAAATATTCTTTTTATATTTACAAGATATATTTAAAATGTTCTCAATAATAATCTCATAATACCTGTTGCTTATTGCTGAGGAAGACAGAGACAAACCATAAGGTACCTGCTGCTGTTCCAATAATCAAGTGAGTCAGAGCAATCAGACGTCCTGCACGTGCATACACCATCATTATTGCACGCGACTCTTCTTTCATGGACGAAGATGACCAGTCATCAATCGCAGAATTAACATTAACGGCGATCTTTCTCATATAAATTCGGGGAAAAATTATATTCAACCACGCATGCATGCTGCTTTCTATTAAACGAAGAATTTCCAAACCGTCTCTGACAGCGTCGCAATATTTGAAGGATTCTATCAGTACGTTGATCATTGTGAGAGACTACACGGTAGTAAATATAAAATTGTCTTCTCATGTGAAGCTATATGCTATATCAAAACCTAAGTAATTATCAGGAAATGATGTTTAAGCTATATTTATAAAATTTTAATTGCCGATTGTTGTTCAAGCTTAAATTCTAATAAATTACTATGTAATATATTTTTATATATTTTATTTAATGTATTTTATGTATTTTTATATGTATCACGTGATACATACAATTAACAAATTTTTTAAAAATTTTATTCCAATTACAGCAATAAACATAATAATTCAATAATTTAAATTCCAAACTTACGATTTATAAATTAAATTATAATTCTCAAACCAATTAAAAAAAGTTTAAGTAGATTACTATAATTTTGTCAATGTTTATTAAAAATATGTATACCATTTTCCTCTTATCATCAAAAGTAGTTAATCTACACTTTATGCTATCTTATAATATATTATTTTACCCCTGCTGTGAATATTAGAAGCCACTGAAATGTGTAAACTACACTGTTCCGTTGCAAAGGCCATAGACCAAGCATCCACATCATTGATTTTATCATAGAAAAGCCATAATCTATACCATTGTTCCAATTTGTCTTCATGTTCAGTGATGTATTGTTAGTTTCGATCTCAAAAAGGAAAATTGTAGTTTTGTGTGACCGAATATTGCTTGGGTCGATGCCTTACTTTTATTCCTAAGAAAATTGCTACTGTCTATATGCTTTTAGTCCTTCCGCACTGACCAACCTTTAGGGTGGTAAGATAAGTGACATGACAAATTTGTGTCTATCACGCCATGTCTACCATCTGGAACATCCGATAATGTGCACAATTTTCAATTCATAATGTTGTTTGTGTCAGCGCATAGACGCTCACGATCAATTACGTGTTGAACGATAATGCCCTGTCGAAAGAAGGTTTGCATTCTTTTTCGTGAGCAAAATATGTTTTTGTTATATCATCGAAACGATGTAGTGAACAAAGTATAAAGGGTGAAACTATCTATAGAGTGAACACGTGATAAAATAGAAAAAGCATATAATATGGAAAAAGCATATAGTATGGAATTTCTTTACTTGTGTGTGATCCTGATGCAACGCATTGTTGAATTTCTGATATTTATTTAAAACAATGTTTTAAACTCAGTAAAAGTTTGTAATTTTTTTATTATAATCTCTACTATTTCTACTCTATTAATATCTACTGCTATTTATTATTATTTACTATTAATATCTGAAGAACTATTTTAATAATTACAAAAATCAAGTATGTTTCAAAATATTTTAATTGTTATTACGCATATATAGAGTCAACAATTTTTATATGTTTTACAAGTTCCCAGTAGGTTTGTTAACTTTTATCTTTCAGTGCTATTCTCAAAACTGATATATATGAAGCCGCTGTCTTCAAAATGAACATTATTGTCTCACGATCGACATAACAAAATTTTCCACCGCTAAGACGAAACGGATAGCTCGACTTCATCATCGCAAAGTTCAGATCCTTTGTCAACCTTACAGGAAGCGTAAACCAGGAAGTCGTGAATATTGCATAGAATATACTTTCGCTTCCTTTTTGTACAAGATCACCGCCGTAGCAATACATTATCGATTGCACAAATAGGAAGTTTAAGACTATAATACTTTTCGCCATTTCGACATAATCATTATTTTTTAAGCACAATAGTATACGTAAGCCTGAAAGAAATTTTATGGAACAAAGAAAAATTTAAATATACGCACCATATGCAATATTAAATAAAATGCAGGATTTTTTAAGATTTTTCATATTTTAAAAATTTATTAATTGCATAAAAAATTTAATCTGAGATACAATACCTAATAATGCAAGCAGAAGTGTTATTATGACCAGTTGGAATAATATCAACAAGTGGAATGTATCTTCCAAATTTTGATTCAGTTCCATTAATTCACAATGTCTATTAACCAAGTTAGCCAATTGTTTCCGATAATTTTTCGGAGTATCTGGCTTGCTTCCAAAAATTTCAAATTTTGTTTTAAGCACTTTAAGTTGACCAGTAAGATGGAAAATAATACTTATATAAAAACTGTCCGCAGCAGTTTGTAAGAGACATATCAGCAATAGTTGAAAACTTTGAAAAGTAATGAGCATTGCATATTGCAAACCGGTGATATTGTCACCTAACATACCACACGGGATTATAAATGTCCAATTTGATGTACTCACATTATCTATATATAATAAAACATAAATTTTGATAACAATTAGCATTGATTTCGATATCAGAATACAACAATTAAAAATCAATAATAAAGAATTATAATTTTTAATATAAATCTATAAATATTTAAAAATATTTAAAAATATTTATTAAAGATTTTGATATCTAAATTGAGAAATTATAGAAAGCTAATATCTATTTGCACATTTGCATAATATATTTTTTATCTTTGTCTTTACATGATAGAAATAGGAAAGTCTATATAATAATAATTTGTAAATAAATCTTCAAAAGATCATAGAAAATTCAGATAATATAAACTTTTTTATTTATTGGAGCAATTTTTATAAATTGTACAGATTAGAATCATAAATTTATTGTTATTAATATTCTTCCAAACACAAAGAAAGAATTTAAAGAATATTAAATAACACATTTTTTATATATCGTGATTTAAATATAGTAATTTAAATAGAATATAAGTTATTTAAATATCATACAAGTATTGCATTACCTTTTGATATATTTATCATTTGAGTTTGTAAAAATATCTGTTTTAAATTTAAAAGTATGACAAACAGTATATATATGCCACCGGCTACATAACATGTGCTCAATATCATCAATTTCAACTGTCTAGATTTAGATGCGTGTTTCTTCATGATCTTGTACGATTTCTCGTCATTCTTTGCAGACAACCAATCGGTGATAGCAGCATTAATATTTTTGGCCAATTTTCTTTGATTAATAGTAATACAGAAATTTTTTAAAGTTAAAGCCACTGTGACTGAGAAAAATAGCATAGCTTCGATATTCGCACCGGCATCACTCTGATTTCCGAATTCCATAAACACGAAGATGAATGGGGATAGCTATTAACGACCCCGTTGCCTTAGAAAATATAGTATACGTATAGTAAAATGTGTAAGTAATGTCCATATTTGAAAAGCTTGAATTTTTTTGTAAAATTTTCAATAATTTTTCTATGCACGAATTTTTGGATTTAAGATATTATATATACTTCTCAGATATTATATATACTTTTTTTTCTCTCTGTTGTAACACGTTTCTACAAATGTCTTTTCTTCTATCAATGTACCTGTAGAATTGTCATTAAACTCCATTGAATTATCGTGAATATCGTCCTTTTTTCTAGCGGCCATAACTTAAATAATCGCATTAGTGTTCTATGAGTAGAAAAAACGTATGCGATGTCATCGTTCCAAATATCATCTGACATTATTGTAATTGCACAAATACTGCACGTGGATGACTGAATATTCGAATATAACGAAATTGTTCAGTCTTTACAAGTGCAATTTTGCAGTTTCACAAATTTACTTATCGATTTATGAACATTATCATAACTGTGGAGTATCAAGATGACACATGTTATTTCGGTCAAGCTCATATTTTATTATTCAACGCTCTTCGACATGGCAGTAAGATAAACGCAAAGAGGACAATACACATATGTATACATTGGAGTAACATCTTTCGTACTGTTTTGTAGTCATAAAGCGTATAGAAAAAAAACTTCATTAACATAGCAGTGATAATGAGGAAAACATATATTGTGCAATATAACTGATATATTAATTCAGAATTTGAAGAGTTACAAGATATAATTAATAGAAACATCAAATTTCTTTCAATTTTGATAATGATTCATGTATTCAATGACAAGTGTGATTCTTAATTAATTGCTTCAGCCAATTTCTTGCTCAATTCCATTAGATAATTATATCATTCTTATAGAATTTTTTAAAATGGAGCGTTGAAATAATCTTGGCCTTGTAGATTTGAAACATCAAAATTGCTAACTGATCCTTAAAATCCAAAATTGCTAAAATTGATTTTTAAAAATCACTTTCACTTGACTATACATATGCAATGTGATATTAAGGAACAAAGAATAATTATCTTTACAAAAAGAAAATGATACGAAGTTACATTAATGTTATTTTGATTGTCATTCATAGTTTTATTCGAAAGAAGAATTAAATAAAACACTAACGTAAGAGAAATACACCATAACACAAGAGAAAATTCTTTCCATAAAAGCGTATTCACATAATAGCATGATGTTTATTTTCAATTCAAATAACTTTTGTGTTTAAAAAAGGTACATCTGAATTCCAGATCAATTCGATTTTCGGATTTTCGAAATTATTAAAATTTAATTATAAATGATAATCTTTAGAGCCTTGTTTCCATTTCAGCTCTTTATGTGTATACGTAAATAAGTATTAATATTATTTAGTCTAAATTATTTGCAAGCTCATAAAATTATACATATTTAAATTGTTCATACGTATAATTTTAATATCAAGATAATGATAAAATAATAGAATATTTTTTCTATGCTGTAAAATAAAAATTAAATAAACATATTGATATTAATGACAAATGTTCTGTAATTTTGTAACATTTATTTAATTTATTTTTTGTATAATCACGTATTTTACATAGCCTCAACAATTTTTATATATGTTCTACAAATTCCTATTAGATTTGTTAATTTTTATCTTCTAATGCCACTCTCAAAACTGACACGTACAAAGCCGCTGTCTTCAGAATAAACATCATCTCGGGATCAACATAAAAAAATTTTCCACCACTAAAACGAAACGGATAACTCGACTTCATCATCGCGAAATTCAGATTCTTTATCAATGTTACAGAAAGTGCGTAAACTAGGAAGTTGTGAATATTGCAATATATTTCATTTCCTTTTTGTATAAGATCACCGCCATAGCAACTACTACAACACTATTGACTCCATGAATAGATAGTTCGAGGCTATAATTAGGAAAAACTTTTTCCTAATTTAACATAATTGTTGCTTTTTAAACAAAATACAAAAGTATAAAAATATAGAAAAAAAACAGAATAAAATGAAAAAAAAATTATTGATATATCAAATTTTTATGATTATTTTAACCTTTTGTTTTAACTTTTAAAATAAAATAGCACAAAGCATTTTTTAAACACTCGTATATTTGAGAAAAATTTTTTATGAGAAGACATAATTAATTTTTAACACAATTAAGCGATTAAATTGTGGTTATAATTAGCAATTTTATTAAAACGATATTACAAACTCTTGCTTCTACAGAATTCTATCTCATCGAACACAATTTAAAATTGTAGATTTGTAATTTATAAAATTTTATTATTACGCGTATTATCTCTTATATTTCTACCATTACACGTAATACAGACAGATACGAAATAGAAGTTTTCAAGATGCTCATATAAGTTGCCAGATTTACCACGATAAAATTTCCAGCTAGCAACTTGGCAGGAGATTGTGCCCGCATAATAATAAAAATTATATTTCTTGTCAACTTTGTGGGAAGATCATACCAGATGTTTTGATAAATAGAAAATGCAACTTCTTCCATTTGGGATTTCAAGTAATCCCCGACAAAACTATATACAGATAATTGCGTTAAGAACGTACACAGTACCATACAGCTTTTTCCCATCACAACAACATTATTCATTTTTAGAGCTAAGATAAGTTGAAATCCTAAAAAATATTTATTTGTTTAATATCCTTGTTCTATAATTTATTCTATATTTTGCAAAACTTATAAATGATATAATATTTACCCATTAAACATAACTGAATGCTGCTAATAAATAATTGTGTTAGTAAGATGAAACTAATTGTTTCAGCCAATTTCTTGCTCAATTCTATGAGATAATTATGTCTCTGAATCAAAGTGTTGAAACGATCTTGAACTTGCGGATTTGAAACATCAAAATTGCTAAAATTGGCCTTTAAAATTTTCACTTGACCACACATATGCAAAGTAATGTTGAGGAACAAAGAGTCATTACCTTTACAAAAAGAATACGTTATGATACGAAGTTTATCTTTTAAGTTTATCTGGTACATTGAAAAATATAATTGTATAATATTGTAATTGTTTTGTTCACTTCTATTTGCAAAATTTCATATTTTAACTTATCTTTTACATTTCAAGTTATACTTTTATTTTATAAATATATTTCTATATCATGTGTTTTATTATATACATTAATACATATAATAATTATTTTTACAATTAATAATAAGTAAATAAATATTATAAAATTAATATATTAATATATTGTTTGATTTATTGAGAGACGTGATGTTGTCTCATGTTTAAAAATTTGATATATTTTACAAATCGCATTATATAATATAGAAAACATAAAAAACATAAAAAAATATATGAAAAGATAAATAGATGTTACCGTGATTACAAGTACATGTAAGTACTAGTATGATAAATTCCATGAGACAGATAATGCGATACATGCTTATTGGGGCATTCAAGTATTCTAACGCGCATCTTGATGGCATTGGATAATCCAATATAGTATCTTCATCCGTTACATTGATCTGTTTATCTTGATTATCATCCAGAGTTTCATCCAGAAGAGGAATCAACGAATATAATATTACACTAACATAAGAGAAGCATACCATAAAACAAGAGAGAATCCTTCCCATAAAAGCGTGTCTTCGCATAATAGCACGATGTTGTTTATTTTCAATTGTCAAATAATCATTCAAAGCCGAGCCATAATTATCAGTTAAATTTTTCGCGTATATGCGGAAACATATAGTCTTGAACACTCCGAGCACACCGCAACAAATCAACATGAGGCTATCTATATTCTGTTCCGCGTTAGTACAGCCCAGGTGAAACTCCATGGAAGGCAAGATCACTATTATACTCTGTTGATATGCGTAAATGGTATAATTTCTCATTCAAACAGCTTTTGTGTCTAAAAAAGATACTAATTCCAGATCGATGGATCTTCGAAAATATTAAAATTTAGTTATAAATGATAATCTTTCGAACCGGGAAACGATGTTTCTATTTCACTTCTTTACGTAATTTAAAGAAATATTGGCATTATTTGAATTGACTTAGAAAAA